TATGGCAACGATGCATATATCTGGAAGAGCAGAACAAAATGGCCAGGAATCAAGGATGATGATCGAATTCTAATTTCGCTCATTTGTTTTTCTTAACGAAACAATCTTTTATATATTACTTACCTTTAGTTAGCTAACAGCCAAAAATCGTGCACATGACAATCAGCAATGAATGACGCTTGTTAACATTTCACATATTCCATTGATTATATCGTCAGAAAACATCTGCAACTCACAGTTGATAGTAAAGGTGATTTTTTTTATACAGATATAGTCCTAATTGCAAGCTGCATGCTGCACGGTAATGACTGCTGTATGCACTGACCTAACAGATGATTAGAGTTATATTGTTATTGTTTTAACGGACTCCGTTTTAAAAATGCAAGTCATCACCCACAGTCAAACCAGTTTACATATTTTACATATTTTACAGGCGAAGTTTACCCCGAGAGTAACAAAACTCATTGAGAGGACTCACTTAATTCTTTTATTATATTTATCTATTTATTATTTATTTAACAGTTAATGAATGAGGCTGAGTATCTTATGAAGAATTATGGAGATCGAGGAGAGTGTTATCCGTCGAGGCCGTAGGCCGAGGCGGATAACACTCTCCGAGATCTCTATAATCCTTCATATGATACGAAAGCCGAATTCAATAACTGTGTTATTATTCATTCAAAATAATTCCTAGTTTAAAAACAAAGCTAAAACATGCTTACCTCCATCGATCCATCGATGTTCAGTTCATCTTCGATAGTGTACGTCTAGGTTTGTCCAGCTCCGCAAATATTCTCCAAATGGCAAATGGCGCCCTTCGAGTTGTCTTCTTGCTGTTCTTGCCTGGTTTTTAGCTATTTTTTCGCCTAGCTCTTACACTTGAAACGAGTGAAATGTCCGCCATTTTTTCAAGTTCACAACCAAAACAACTCAGCCTCGTCCCCAGGTCTTCTCGGTTAACGGTGCCTTAACCTGCGAAAACGCTGCATTTTTGACGTCATTTCCTCGTTAAAGTCAAATTTCTTCCAAATTTGGTCATCAGTAACTGGTTATGGTGAATTGAACGTGTCCGTTTAGCCAATCAGAATCGGGGAAATATTTTGAATGAATAATAGCTATTATTATTTATCTATTCCGATTCATTAACATGAAGGACTTATTCTTCACCAAGCCCTTCTATTTCTTGTCACGAAACTTAAAAAAAGTATCATATCTCAGATGGTTACACTTTGCCAAAAAGGCATTGAAAACTGCTCCGCGTTAAAGGGACAGAAGGGAGGGAGGGGCTTTCTCGTATAATATAAGCTGCTGTAATATGTGTGCATGCGGCAGCAAATCCGGGGTTTCAACACAAAATAGGGTAAGGATTTGTGTTATCCAGATTTAGGTTATGGAATTGTTTTTGTCGCTCGAGTCTTAAGAACAGAAGTTCAGTCCTCAAACAGGATAGGTAAAATCGCATGTTTTGGTGTGTAGTGTAGGGGTACGAGTTTCAGAAAGCATGCTGGATACCCCATCCAGAAGTACGACGTCGGGTACGACTCAAATACCGTAGACCAACAACAACAACATAAGCTTTATTTGCATGACTATAATTATGTAGTTACAGTATTGCAAAAGCTTTAACATAAAAAAAAACCAACAAACAAACAAACAAACAAATCATAACAATGATAATGCAATGCAATGATTACTATAGACAATAAAGTGTCATCAGCATGATTTGATAACAAATTATTACGTAAATCATTACATAATGAGACAACTTTCAACAAATGTGAATTTACAGAAAAATTCTGTGAATTCATCAATTTAATTATTAATTCTGTGTAAGATAGCTGATTAAAGTCGACAAAATTTTGTTGGATTTGATTGTAGAATTTCTCCCAGTTTGTGGTTACTTATACGAATTTTCACTAAATCTTTCCTATTAGCAGAATTTCTAATTAAGTCTAGATAACTTGAAATTTTATAATCATGTTTAAATAAGCTGTAAAATTGTAGTTTCTTAGAATGATGGGTTGTATGTTGCCAATATGCAATATATTTTTGTTTTATTATATCTATATAGTGTTTGATCTTAGCTTCACTTAAATTATTAGGATCAAAGTCAGGGAGGTCATAATATTCAAACCAATTCAAGACCAATTCAATAGCAATAGACATACACAAATACACAAATTAAAGAAGCAACAAAAACAAAACGACAAAAAACAAAACAAAACGAACAAAAATAAAAATTAAAGAAAGAAATTAGGTTATCAACATTAGAACAAACTCAACAGCATTTTTACACGGACATCGACCCGAGGCCTGATTGGAATCTAAGGCATACTGCCACTACCCGGGCAGTGGCAGTAATGGACAGCTGATTCGTCCTAATTAGGGCGCATTTACTTAACATAGCGGTCAAGTCTATGCACGGTCAAAGCCGTGTATCAGCGGTTCAGTATGTCCGGTTGTTTCCTACCCAGGCGAGTCAGGGACCGGCGAGTGCAAAGCACTCCTTTCAGCACCAGCTCCAAAACAGCAGATGTGACGCCGTTCCGGAGCTGGGAACCACAAGACAGCAGTCCCAGGGAATGAGCTGATCTTAATTTGGCTGACCCGTGTATCAACTGAAAAAAAATTAATGGCCCGGCCAGTACCTAGCGCTGATGCTGATATAGCACAGCATAGCTTACAATGGACACTCTGTAAGCTGAAAAATATCTTTTTTCCAGAAAAATAAACAGCCTAGACCTCATGCAAGGTTAACCAACAGTTCATGTTTGACCCAGTGGAAGGGTGTATACGGTTCGTGAAAGATGTGTAAAGGTTCATAAAGAGTGTCTTTACGGTAGCATTACGTCAGCTTTATCGAACAGTAAAGTTACTGTTTCGTGCTGTGAAAAATCTTTATACCTGAAAGGACTAGGCTAGTGTCCAAGAAGAAGTACGGGATCTTTTTGACAACATCGAGGAGGCAAGTACATGTTTGGAGAAAAACTCTGGGGAGGACATCAAAACGCAGACCAGTCGCGCCATGATTCCTGTTAATGAAGGCAATAGAAATGTTCTGAGGTCCTCGAAATCGCATTACAACTCGAACACCAAAAACCCGAAGTGCGTTACTGCATAAGCACATTAAAAATCGCAAGGAAGATGCGGATAGAGAGTCAAAGATCTAGAGTGTCGTAGAGAGTACACGAATGACAGCAATGTTCACTGTGCGAAATATTAAAGGGGTAATAAAAACAATTTAAAATTACCCAATGAGCGGTGAGCAAAAACATGTTGAAATACTTTTTTTATTTCTTAATAAAACATTCAAAGAATTTTGACCAAAGGACTGATAAATTCACTTTTGTAATTACTTTTACATTTTTAAGTGATATACATGTGTAACAATACAATTGGTGAACCATAGTTAAGCTAGTTAGGGTTTTATGGCGTTGAACTACATGGTTAAGCGCAAAACATCCGGAGTCTAAAAGCTTTCACTTAAAACATATGTACATCTCTTTTCAAAAAGAACTGGCTTATAACCATGTTTACCTTTAACACAAAATGAAAATCCAGATGAAGAAATAGATTGAGGGACAGTTCATCAACTGCAGCAAAGGAAAACATTCAAAAGAATTTCCGACCGAGCTTGCTGTTATCTTTAAAATAAATTTTAAATCAAAAGGTAAAGGTTTTTCCAATCCAATCTAATGCGATATTCGACAGATCAAAACGTGCGGCTATGATAACAAATAGCAACCTCATTTACTGTGCGTTTACTGTTTTAACAATTGTCCTTAGGTGCGTACAATATTAATTAGGGTTATCATTGTAGTGGCTCTCAGGGGGATTAAGTTCATCAAAATTTACTCCGCAGTCTGTTTTTTAAAACGCAATCATGGAGTTGTTTACATAAAAGCGGTAAGCATGATATTTTTTTCTGCTTGTATGTTTTTTAGCTTGACCTCTTTCAGCTCTTCAAATGAATTTCATGTTGACAAAAATAGCGACGTGCTAAAGGCTGGTTACATGAAACAATGAGAACTTAGAGGGATAGAGTACGAAAGATACTGTTCGTGATAAGACTTGTGTTAGTCATTGGTCCTTCTCAGTTGGAATCGAAAACACAGTGTCTTTATTTTGTACCCATCAATCCAGAAAAGTCTAAACATATTTAGTTGCTATCATGTCATGCCACTCAGCAGGGGGTACATTCCGTTATAAGGCGATATAGCACACGACAATTTAATAAAAAGGTACAATTTGCCCTAAATTGCAGAAAGCTGTGTGTTTAAGTAAAATCCAAACAGCGCTCTCTGTTAAACCTATCCATCTAACAGGTAAACAGGTCAACCTTTCTAAGCTTGGGAATGTGTACATATTTAAAATTATCGTGCATTTGTTCTCTCTTCCAGGTCTGTTTAAAGCTTAAAGTTGCAGTACTCACAAGCAGAACAGAAAATTAATTACTTAAAGTGGCATTCGCTCTTCTCCAGGTTTGATTTGCTTTCTTTTCTTTCACTCTTACCTTAAACGGTTTTTTTAACTCCCACGACTTCAACTAACCTCTTATTAAATGCCAAACTTGTTTAAGCAAACTTTAATTACTATTTTATAAACTAAGATGTCTCTTTGTGGTTAGAATGTACATATACAATTCTTGTGCTTAGGTTCTTAATCAAGGACCTTCGTCCTAAGCTTAATTTATTCGCGAACAGACAGACGGTATTTCAGAGCCGACACCATGGCTGCTAATCAACATTTACTTAATGAGGAGGTATAAGCCACAGCAGTAAATTAATGATATTTATTAAAACTGAACACCGGCGTAGCCGCTAAACGAGGTGAAGTTTTCTAAATAATGATATCAAGAAACAAAGGAATCGAAAAGCTTGAAACAAATTATGCAGTAAAAAAGGGAGCAATTTTGTCTGAGAGTTTTAACGCGTCAAAACCAGGTGAAAACTCTGAGACGATTTGAATAACAAAAATTCTAGTTCTGGATTTAAATGACAATGCATTCAGCAAAAAATTGCTTTGACAGGATTACAGGTGATTTAAAACAATAACTGGCTTGAGACGACTCGCGAACTTAAGCACATAGCATTGTTACTACAATATTGGGTTTAATAACTTGACTTTTTTAAGAAGGAGAGAGAGGGCGTAATGCATAAAATGTTTTTTTTTTTTTTAATCCAGAAATTCAATAAAGCACGACGGCGCAAAAGTGAAAACGTCCAAACGTCCTTACTAATAGCGTGAATACGCTTTTGTTAATTATTTATTGAGTAATAAGTTATTCCAACTCATTCAATTTGTTGAAGGTAGGCAAAATTCACATATAGAAAGGAAAGCTTGTCGACTTGTCTTCCTCGGGTGCAACATTATCAGGAATTTTTACCCTTTAGTTTTGCTAGGGATGACCAAAATCTGTCAGATTGCATATTTTGTCACTGTTTTATTAACGTTCTCTTTAAGTCTGTCGTCGTAAATAGTTTCTTATGTCTTAAGCTGCTGCCAGTAGTATCAAATCAAATATTATCACTAATAAGATTTCCAACTTCCACGTATTGGAAGACCAATGAACCTTACTTTTTAATGTACCTACAGCGAAATAAAAGAAAGCATTAACAAAATCGAAAGTGTTCGTCGTCAACTCATTGCAAGATTTATGTTTCACTGACTGTACTGTGCCAAGCATGACTTTGTCTATTAGAAAGGTAATATCTAACGAACTTCGCTAGAGCAGAGGGAAGGGCGTTAGACAGGAAAACCAGTTGTTTGTTATTGAATGAAATGACCAGAAATTAGCTTGTTCTATTTCTTACGGCAGCAAAATGTACTAGAAGTGGAGGGATACGTGCAGAGACATTTTCTCGCTAATATGTCAGCTTAGTTAAGGAACATTAGGGCCATTTATACGAGGAAAAATAAGACGCGTCTTACATAAGACGCGAACTTTCCGTATAAACGGCACATTTCGTCTAAAATAACACGCGGCTTAGCTAAGACGCGTCTTTTTAGATAAGACATGCTCGTATAAATCAATGGTACAGTTCGCGTCTTATGTGAGACGCGTCTTATTTTTCCTCGTATAAATGGCCCTATTGTTTTTGGAACTTTATTGAAACGCGGTCAAACACGCTAAAGAATAGAGAGCTTCAGCAACAACGACGGCAACGGCTACGAAAAGGTTACTTAAAGATGAAGTTGCGCTCCTTCAAATTTTATCGCGCTTGTTCCATCTCGTTCATTTTCGTCAAATGTTGGCAATTTTTTCTGGGTTGAATTTTAAAACGGACTGTATCAATGTTCAGGAAAAGAAAAAGAAAGTCGTCGTCTTGTTTTCACTTCCTTCAAAAAACGTGAAATTAGGCAGTTTTACGTCGTAGTCGTGCAATGACGGCCAAACTATGTACAAAAAAGCGTGATGCACGTGCAAAGTTCTTGTTTTGCCGGTCTAAACCAACTGCTTTTTTGCCGTTCTCGTTGACGTCACCATCGTCGTTGCTTAATTAAGCTCCCTAATGTTAAAATTCGGGTTCTTTAAGTCGCCGTAATAGAAGAGTGTCCGACAAGAGGTGATCTTTTGAAAACATTCGAAATAATCCAAACTAATTGCTTATAACTGTAACTGCTTATATTTATTAATAATAAATAAGAACTATAAACTCAAATATAAATTCTGTGACTATTTGGTTGTTATTTCAGGCTCCATTCCTGAACATTTAAAAGTAATGTCTCCACTTTTTGTGGTCGTCTTCACTCTCTACAACTTCTCTCCTGGCGCGGACGCCATTTTTCTTCCCTACTGGTCGAAAAGAAACCACTCGGAAACATCTTTTCACATTCCTTCCTCATCCCTTGCGCTGGAGGGCAGGAACGCTCCGGTAAAGCTGCCTTATTACTCTGAACTGGCGAAAAATTACTCCCTGGACTACCGCTGTGCAAACGGTCTGCCTATTTCCATCGCTTGGCACCCGTACTCCCCGTATTCAATAATTTATCAAACAAAGAACAAAGGTGTCCCTGGCTTAACTGTGGATGGAATGTTTCCTGGTATTTTGAATGCTGCTGTGACAGGCTGCTGTCATAAGGATACGGAAGTTTTGTTTGGCAAGCTTCTGAAGTCTGTACGGAACGCCGAGAAAAACATTCAGGCAGATACCTTCGATCTGACGTTTCCTCTGTATGGATATGACTCCTCTGCAACTTCATTTAGGTAAAACAACGTTTTTGTCTTTACTGAAGCGAATTTCCGGAAAAGTGAAAAACAAACCTGAAAAATACCTACTTATAACGAAATATATTTGCTCAGTTCCATCAAGTGGTTATCATGCTATAAAAGATTATCGAAAAGTTCACTAAGAAAAAAAAAAATCAAAACCAGGCCTAACATCAAGGACACTGATGTGGTGCCAGAAGGTGTCAATTAGAATTTTCGCAGCAAAATTTCATCCCGTTTCATTGTTTTGTTCACTACACGGCGTCTTTCCAGCCATTTTTACCGCGATAGAGCCGTAAAACTGGTTATTTACGTCATTAATTTGAACACTTAATAATTCTTTTTGTGAATTCACTTTTTTATCTTTTCTTAACAATTTTTTTTCAAGGGATCGGCCGTTTATCGGTATAGTACGAGCTCCTCGTGTTATCCTTCTTGTTCACAATGAACCTCCAAACAAAACGCAGACACACGTGCTGTTCTCTACCATCGCCAACGCCTGGCCTATGCTGGTTTTTATCCTTGTGACGGCGTCACTCTCAGGAATTATCATATGGTTTCTGGTGAGCTCTTTTCTTTGTTTGTTTGTTTTTCCCCTGCTTAAAAAAACTAATGGAAATTGAGATTTTCGAAAAATTAAAGTTGGCCTAAATCTGCTTAAAGTTACGCAAACTTTCCAACGTGAGTAATTTTTGTAAAGGAAAGCCCAATAATAAAGCTTGCTTACTTAACTTTGCCTTTTTTAATGCCGTGTATGATTCATCAACATCACCTACTTCCCGGTCAGTCAAAGTTTCAAAGTCTTTTCTTTATCTGCTTCATGTCAGGACCACCCCAGCAACCCTGGCGAGTTTCCACCGCCGTTTTTGCGAGGATCTTGGGAAGGTTTCTGGTGGGCTCTTGTTACCATGACAACAGTAGGGTTTGTACTGCTTATCGTTTTTATATTGAATCCGTAAGTAATACCGCCTAGATTTTTTACTCCATCACTGTAAAAATGATAAGGAACTCGTACGTTCTGATTAGCCACAATGACAATAGAACACTGGGCTGTCTGCCGCCACTTCTTTCCTGCTACAGCTGTAGCTTGTTATAGTACCAAGATTACATAAGTGTCATGCAAACCATGTCTTACATACGAACTGTACGAACTTGTACTGCCAACTTTCGAATATATAGAACTAGAGCCTGAAAAAGTTTAGGTCTGAACGGGACTCGAACCTTTGTGTATATACAGCATTTTCGTCTGTGGTCTTTCGCCTTATCCCGTTACTCTCACATCTTACATCAGCCTATAAAAGTTTTTTCTTTTTTTTTTTGGCTTGATTAAATGAATTATTTACCTGACTCGCTGAATGCCTGGCTGATTTACTAGCTAGCTTAAGAACTGTTTGACCATCTGTTGGACTGACTGACTGACTGACTGATTGAATGATTGACCGACCTTCTTATCATAGGACTATCCTTTTGATAAAAAAAAATATCAGAAATATTTCAGTGACTTCACAAGAAAGGAACAAACGATCGATTTGTTACACATATGAATTTACCTTTACTTTTGTGTTAACACAGGTATGGTGACCGTTCCCCAAAGTCAGCCTTGGGCCGAGTGTTTTGCATCATCTGGATTATAACTGGAGTGATCATTGTCTCCATATTTACAGCTCTTGTTACAGCATCGTTATCTGCCAGCACTGTGCAGATTTTTAAAATTCATGGCTCAAAGGTATACCACGTTTATTAAAACCACTCTTAAAGAGGGGAGGGGGCGGGGGGATGGGAGAACGGAGATTACGATAAGCCTAGTTATTTCCAAGTTTGTTATTTTATATTCTTTTGACATAAATATAAAAGTATGCAAGACACATGGTAAAATTTTATTCTTTTACTTTATGACAGATCGGAGCTGTTAACGGAAGTGAGGAGTTTAAGCTGGGAGTCACCATGAACGCTGACATGAAAGGTACATGTTCGTCATGATATAATCATTGACCATCACTAGGTGGAAAATGTCTTGATCACGTTGTTCGGGCTTATTTTCGTTTTGTAGAATGCATATGGGTCTGTTTATTCTTACACTAAAAGATCTTTATGTTTTGGTTGTCAACGCAGTCCTAGCTGTAACGTTTTTTTTAATTTAAAGAGGGAAATCGAGAGATTTCCAGCCCCAGATAGTTAAAGGGGCGAGTTGACTAGTCAACAATCAAAGCCAACAAAATTCTACTCGATTTTTTTTTCTCACGATTGCAATACTAATTAAATTGGTTCTCTAGCTATTTTTTATCAAGTTCTTCGGGCAAGACAGAACAGTAAACGATTTTAAAGTAGGCAGGATTTTTTAAACCTACATTCTTACGTTACTTTTTTTCTTTGTACTTAAGTCTTTCCACACGTCATGCAAATGACGGAAGCACTCTTAGTGCATGAAATTGACGGCGCATTGGTGGACAACTACGTCATCACTCACTCCCTGAACTTAATTCAGGACGAACCAATCAGAATCGAAAGATATATTGATCACGCGATAACTTACGGAGTAGTATTGGCCAGCAATTCATCCAAACTCGAAACCTGCTTTCGACGGTTCTTGCATAACCATCCACAAGAGGTGTTTGAAATAATAGCTGAAAATCTTGTCCCTCTCAAGGTAAGAAATCTCTTCCGATGAATTCCATTTACCCGACTTTCAAATTTATTCAATTTAATATTGAATTGAAACTTACATACAGCTGTGAAAAAAAGTAGAAATGGCCTGAGATAGCCGGCTTTTTTATTTGTAATTCCTTGATTATAGGGGCTTCGGTCTCACCAGAGAGTTTTCACATCATCTCATTGTAATCGTTCGGTTAATAGAAACTGTAACCAACTTTTGATCAATGCTGAGGAAATATCATCCTCCCCAGCCGATTGGTCACTTTGCCGAAAGTAATTTTTAATATTGCACGTGATTTTCACTTTGAAATTCATATTTTATAATTCTTATTGAGATGATGATGATGAGGGGAGTTTTCCCATCATGCAGCTCATCGTTTGAAACTTTCACCAACTTGGGGTCATCCCCCTGTCCAACCCTCCTCCCCTACCACGCACTTAGACCATCACCTCAACTACCTTGAAAATTTTTACCTTGCGCTACGCGCTCGGTCATTACTTTTTAAGAAGGCCTCCGAACCGCCGAGGCATTACCTTATCCTTGACAATTTCTTTTGTTTCAAGAAATCTGTAATTCTCTTGGCCATGTGAGTGAATAAGCTCTATTTTATCGAAGATTATGAATAGAGATATACCGAGTATGCGCCTCCAATAATGCAGAAGCTGATGAAATTCCTTAATAATGGCGCTTCTTAGCTTAATAACAAGTAATGTGTGAAACCAAGGCCAGGTATAGTTATTGTCGTATCTGCTTCTAAGAGCTCATTGGATTATTTTTTAGTTGTTATGTATTTGACCATAGAGGGCGCATGTTAAGCTGTCCTTAAAAAAACCACCATGACCGAAGCATCCTTTGTTATTACTGTTTTTTTAATTTATAACAACAGTTATTTCCGAATTATCTTAACCCGGATAATATATTAGTAAAGGGCATACGAGAACGAAATTACTTTAATTTGGATGTTGTGGCGCTTTGTTTGGACCAAATTGAGATTATGTAACGTTATTTATTGGATATAATTATTTAATATCATATTGTTTTTAGAATCCTACTGACGATGAAAATCAGCAACTCAAGGCTGCGGAAGGATTGTTTTATCAAGAACAAGTGTTTGAACTTGTCATGTATATTGGCCTTGGAGTAGCTGGAGTGTTATTTTTAGCTGGTCTCACCTGGGAATTTTTGTGTCGAAGGCCGAAAGTCAGTAAGTACTAAACGAGAATCTATGTTAAAGTAAAACAAACTTTTCGATTGTTGTTGCGCAAAAAAAAAGAAAAAAATGGCAAGACGCTTACCTTGACGAAGTCATATCTTGCCTTTATTTTCTTTGACGACGCAAGGTTTTTCATTATCAAGGTTATTCATTTTTCCTTATTCACGATCACTCCGCCACTTTTGTACGCACTTAAGAGCCAATGTCTGTAATTTTCGAGAATCGGTTGACAGTCGTGAATTTTTGAATTTCTTCATATTTTGCTCAAATAATCTCTATAGTACACTAATTTCAAAAATCACGTTAAAACTTGTAATAGCTTTTTATTTTTTCAGGAATCAGGCAAAGTTTGAAAAACTCTAAATCGGCGCTCTTTCGAGTATGAAATTAGCGAAAATTGAGCATTTTCTTCGCGCTCGTACATAAAAACGGAATAATATCTCTACGTGAAATCAAGTCACAACACAGACACACATTTTTGCTCTACAATTCAGCAGTTAACTTTAAATAAACCGTTTAAATGTGACTGTACCGGCCGCAAGAAGAATCACGGTTTCGGCACTTTCCAAAAATGGCAAATTTGACCTAACTTCACCATCGTAAAAACCCAGTTGGTACATAGAATTTCAGTATGAAACAAGAACTGTATTGAAGCATATCCTTTGCTGTTGTTTGTGTTAAAATATTTCTGGCGGCATTCCAAATGCACACCGTCGAGAGACCAAAACCTGAAGGGTATTTTGACACCAGGAAAGCGCGTGCAACAAGCAAGTTTCAACGCTTGGAATATTAATCCTTCGCAAACCTAAGTTACTTCGACATTTAAACCCTAGTCAGAGTTGTAACGGTTTCAGATTATATTTCGGCGTTTCTGTTCGGTTTAACATGATTCCTTTCAACTGATTTTTGCGATAAACCATAATGAAGAGACGAATACGCAGTTCAAATCACAGTTAGTAGAGGGGAATATTGTCGAAATCCTCGCTTGCTATAGTTTTAATCGTATTGAAACCTTAATATCAGAAAAGTTATTTACTTACCTGAATTTAAATGCTAGACGGGGTCACAGTACCGCTAACTAAATTCTGCATCACGGCAGAATCGAAGTTAAGTTTGTATATGTTTTCAATCTGTCAACACGAGGGAAGATGACATTCTGGAAGTGCGTGACGCGTAAGGGAAAGTTAATTTAATATGACAAGGGGGGGGGGGGGGGGGAAGATTTTGGGGGGGGGCTCCGAAAATTTTTAGACACCCGAAGGGGGGGCTCTGAAAAAATTGTTGCGCTAGGAGGGGGGGCTCCGAAAATTTGTATACTTCAAAACCAACACATGACATCATCATACAGATCGGATGGTTTTCAACTCAACAATTTAATGACCTGTGCAACTCAGCTATATCACGTGGCTTACAGATATAACAAATGTAGTCTCAGTAATTATTACACTCTTGTTCATCCCAAAAATGCTTTAGAAAATTGTATCACAACTGTATCTCAAGTTTGTCATAGTATAAACCATTGAAGACAATAACGGTAAATATATTTAATACAGTCTAGCGATCTTTTTTCAGGGGAGCAAAGGAATTGAAGGAGGAGGGGGGGGGGGCTCTGAAATTTTTTCGACTACCAAGGAGGGGGCCCCTAAAAAATTGAACCGCTAGCGAGGGGGGCTGCTAAAATTTCAAGCTTCGAGTTTCAATATCTTCATCCCCCCCCCTTGTCATATTAAATGAACTTTCCCTAACGCGCCGAAAAAGAAATTCCTGGTATAAGTGTTTTAGGGTGCAAGTCTTTGTTGTATGTTCGTATAGCATCTCGCACATATTCAAACTTGGTTTGTGACGCCTGTGGCCCCAGTAATGCTGAACGTATTGGGATCATAGAAAAGATGTAGTGAGTCACTTGGTATGCTCCCGACTTGTTAGTCACGTGAGTATGTAGGGCAATAACCAAACATCGACCCTACCATGCTGATGATAAAAGTAAGGTTTTCTGCATTTACGTTAGGTGATCTTTGTTTGATCCACAAAATTGGCGCATGAAAATAAGAGTTTTCCTCACCACCTCTAAATGTTTGGTTCCGGGTAGCGGTGCAACAAATCACGTGGTACCGTCCTAGATCAACCTACTGGCTGCTCATAGAGGGGTCCATAAAGGCACATTGATTGATGACTGCGTATGGCCTGAACTGAAAATGATATACGCAGACGTTTTCTGAGCGACGAATGTGTAGCTTTTACACTCCTCTTTCGTTTCGAAAATAGACGAGCACGCGAGCGAAGCGAGCGCGCGAGAGAGAGCCCCTTGCTCTACTGGTCAATAAATCCCCCGCGGCTTTTATTTTCATACGTAAAATCGACGATCTCCAAAGAGAAAATAGATCGACGATCTCAAATGAAAAAGTAGAGTGTCTGTGAACAGGATACGAAGGTGCTTGCTGTCATTTTAGTGAACTTTACAAGAGGTCTCAGGTGATTATGTTAACGTCATGAAAAGTCTACTTTAGGAAAGGAGGAGGAGATGGGTGGGTTGGTTGGCATTGGGTTCTCTACACATACAAAACTTCATGTCTTTATCACTACATTTAGAGCTAACAGACTTTGTTTGATGCACAAAATTGGCGCATAAAATCAAAAGTTTTTCCTCACCACCGCTAAATGTTTGGTTCCGGGTGGCGGAGAACGATGCACGTTGTACCGTTTCAGAACAGCCTACTGGCCATGCTGGCTGCTCATTCAAAAGGGGTCCGTAAAGGCACATTAATTGATGACTCTGTGCGGCCTGAAGAATATTATATACGCAGACGTTTTCTTAGCGACGAAGGTGCTGCCTTTACACTTCTTTTTCTTTTCGAAAATGGCCACGGACTTCTCTCCTCGCTCCTCGCCGCTAGGCGGTCGTTTTTGCCTGAGAGATACCACCACGAAGGAGTTTTAGCACACAAGTCACTGCAGGTGCAGACCTAGGAAAAGGGCATTCTCCATCTGAAATTTTAAATCGAAATGAAAGGCTGTTTTCAGCCTTTTATCTCTTTTCTCCGCAACGTATTTGGTTAAAAGATAGTAAGTAAAATGGCTGAGGCGCTTTAAAGCATTTTTTTCATTTTCGCGACGGATTTTGACGTTATGAAAAAGAATTTGTCGGTGAATTGGTTTATTTTCTAGCCTGCGAACAAGTGCCGGATAGAGCCAGGTGACTACACCTTTTTTCAGGCGGGAGCTAGCAGTACGTACATTCTGGTCTACCCCATACTGTGTAGACTGGCCTTTAAGGGCCTCTGTTCGGGGGGCGAGGGATCAGTACAATTCGTCAACAGCAGGTTGAGGTCTCGCCAGAAGATGCCCTTGCTGCAGAGGAGCAAAGCAATACTACTTTCAGTAATTTAAACATGTTAAATACTTGTATTTCGCTCATCAAATGTGTCCATTGTCCATTTTCGATTTGTGGTTTTTCAGGAATGTTCTTTTGCGGAGCATTAGCCAATTTTCTTTAAACAGTTTTACTCGTTTCCATTTCCCTGCTCTACCCTCATGTTGCATATGGCGTACGTGTGTACCTAAATCCCTCAATTCATACTGAGGTGATCGATAAAGAAGTCTATACGCTACGCGGGGTTAAGATTAGTTTATTACAAGCAAAGGCGCAGAAGGCTAAGTGCAAATAAAAAAAACTAGTGTGAAAAGTTTTGCAGACTCGGCTTACTCTATTTGTTTTCTTTCTCTATTTGAGTTTCGGCTGGTGACATCCTAAAATCAAGTTTAGTTCCACATGTTTTGGGAATATAAAATATAAAACTAAAAAAAAAAACAGTGTTAATTGTACACTCGTGCGATGATTTATCCTTGTCTGTGCAGTTGCGTGACCAGACTCAAATTACACACGGGCTTTCATCACGCATCACGGCGTTTAGTCTGAGGCTAAACGACGGAAGATTTCAGTAAACTGCGACCACTTGCGGTTGAAACGACTGTGGTAAGTAATTATTAGAGATCTCGAATCCTATTTAGAGCTAGCACGCCGTTTCTAGCGGCTTTATTTTAGGTGCAGAAACTCGAAGTTAATATTTACACTCCATGAGAACTTAACAGCGTTGTCTTTTTCAGCTACTTGCGTGCAATTAAATGCTTTGTTAATCTACTTAGTCCTTTTTTATAACCATCAAATTGAAAAGCGTTTTTCAAAAGATTTTTAGAGCTTCCCGTAATGTGCCCCTTGTAAAAGAAGCTAAGTTAGCAAAAACATTTTTGTGCCTACATTCGCGGCTAGCTTGTTTTCAGCGTTCCAACGTGCGAAACTACGCTGCACGTTTCGGTGTCTCAGCGACGCACTTTTGTAATGCCGCCAAAATTTTTTTAACACAAGAAACAGAAAAGAATATGCTTTAAAATAGTGTTTGTTTCATGTTGAAATTCCATGTATCAGTTGTTTTTCTCGATGGTGAAGTTAGGTCAAATTTGCCATTTTTGAAAAGAGCCGAAATCGTGTTTCTTCTTGCGGCCAACACAGTCACATTTAAACAGCTTATCTAAAGATAATTGCAGAATTATAAAGTACAAGTCTGTGTTTTCCTTGTGACTTGATTTCATTTAGAGATGTCATCCCGTTTTTATGTACAAGCACGAAGAAAATGCTTAATTTTCGCTAATTTCATACTCGAAAGAGCGCCGATTTGGCGTTTTGCAAACTTTGCCCGATTCAGGAAAAAATAAAAAGCCGTTACAAGTTTTAATGCGATTTTTGAAATAAGTGTACTATAGAGATTATGTGGGCAAAATATGAAGAAATTCAAAAATTCACGACTGTCAACCGATTCTCGAAAATTACAGACATTGGCTCTTAAGGACTGATGGGATAGGAGCGTGGTCACGTGGTTTTTCAGAGGGGGAAGTGGTAAAATCTGCCAATGCTAGAAACTAAAATAGAGTTTTTTTATTCTAGACAACAGAAAATAAAGATTCTGAACATTTTTATCTTGAAGACGATAATGGCAAATTCTGGCTGGAAGGCCTTCCAGCAAGCAATAATGACGCACACCTTGTCGAAATCCCACGGTTTGACCGTTTGCAGGGTCAAATTCGAATAGTTCCGTTTTCCCCATGTAAGGGGGAATACAAGACAGTCTTGGATTCTGAATTCCAGGTTTTGGATTTCGGATTCTTTGTCAGTGGAACTTGGATTCTGGATTCCAATCGTTAGTAGGATTCCGGATTCCTTAAGCTGTATTCTGGATTCCATAGCCCAGGATTCCAGATTCCTCAGGCAAAAATTTTTTGGATTCCGGAATCCGGATTCCCTTCCATGAGGCGATAAACTCTACTTTCTCTATTTCCTTCTAACAGGAAATCAGCGTATGCAGTTTGCCCCTAAAGGTGCCTTTTCAGTAAGCGACGAAGAGGTTAAACTTCATCCATATGACAAAGTTAACTCCAGCCTTGACGACATGATAGCAGAATACCAAATATTTCATGACCGCTGGATCGAAGGACTGAAGAAGTTTCGCGAGAAACAATTGGATGCTGACCGATCTGCCAACGGCCGCACTAGAGTGAATGGGGATGCGGACATGGTGGCTGTGTGAGGATTAAGACCGTTTATAAACCATTATCGATTCAACTTAGATAGCAAATGAAATAAAACTATTGGGAAACAAAAACAGCACTGAGGAACCATCCATTTCCTTCTCGAAGCTGTTGAACTGACGTCAGTGACCATCATGAAAATGTTAAGAAGAGAATAGTTCCATGTAATGGAATCTAAGACAGTCTTAGCGGATTCTGGATTCCATGCCGTAGATTCTGGATTCCAGCTACTGGATTCCCGCAGTCATTGTCAGTGGAACTTGAACTCTGGATTCCAATCGTTAGTGTGGTTCTGGATTCCTTGAGCTGTATTCCGGACTGCAAAGCCCTTAATTCCGGATTCCACAAATTTCTCCGACTCCAGATTCCAAAAGCACAATTTTCCCGAATTCCGTATTCCATTAGCAAAAATTTCTCGGATTCGGGAATCCAGATTCCCCTGTATGGGGCGAAAAGAGTGTGTGGTTTCTCAGTTGTTTCAGACTCGTCAATTTCTTATAATAACAGTATGTAGATACAGTATTAGAACTATAGCTAATAGAAACATCCCATTTAGACATCTTTAAGAATGGACATTTAGTCGCCGTCCCAGCAGCGTCCAATAAAGGTTCATTTAACGTTCGTTTTGTAGGAAATAAAGAGTCTGCTTTGAATGGAAAAGGATTCGAAGTCAGAAAATCTATTTAAAACTTTTCGTTGTTTTTGTTAGGATACACAGTCACTGACATATTTTCTTTTACTGCCTTGTAAATATCACATGTTATTTGACCTTGAAGTAGCAGCAGTGCTAGATAATCCTCGGTGTACTTTATGACCTCCATTTAAGTTGCTTTTATGTGCTACAAAGGCTTTTCCCGCGCGCTGTTGGCTCCGTAGCTAAAGTTTTCCCAGAACTCGTACAAGTGAGAATGCTCGCAGGCAAAGAGCAAAGCACGAGGGAAGCTCCAGAGCACGAGGCAGGCACGCCCTCTTGTCGTGCATTGGCCTGTTCTGCATTGAAACCTACCTAAAAACGTTATACATCGAAAACAATAATAATAGTGTATGAAAGTAGAGTTATAGACAGTAACTGACTGAGGAAAAAAACACCAAGGTAAAACTTGCAATACTTTCTCGTAAACGCTTGAGCATTTAATAAAATGGCATTGATTTGTGAAATGTGCATTCAGAAAGAGAAACAAGTTACCAAGCTTTAAAGCATGCATCCGAATTTTTAAAACTGGTTTTACTGTAAATATCCGGATTGTCTCCATCGCTTGAGTCTTCTCAGAATGTGCTCAATGAAGGCGATAATAAGGCTGTGTTTACTCTACACCTGATAGCTGCTGCGTCGGTACGTTAATCATACCGGGTAGAGCGTCACCAATCGGATAGCCGGAAGTGTGCCATATTTTGGTGTAGAGTGAACAAGTATACGGACCGTAGAGGAAGCGAATAAGGAGGAAAGAAGACTGGAACCATCTAAAACGGAAGTTAATTTTTAGGAGTGAGGACTGGGGTTTATTGCACCAAATCCTCTCGGCACGATGTTCATTGTGTGTGAACGACTTACTTCAGTTCCGGGCCGTTGCTGTTCATACTTTACCATGCTATACCGGTATGGTGTGAACATAACCTAAATACTATATAATCGTCTTTTATTCATTAATTTTATTTTCGTAGTCTTGTAGTCGACGCTAAAACCGCATTTACAACAATTGACTGGCATAGACTACAAGCTAAACGCTTAAGGTAAACTATTTGAGAAAAAGGCACACAGTTATTTATTTCATAAATGTATCCGATAAATTTGCTTTCGCATTGTATTATACAATTGCAAAGAAGCTAGTCCATTCTTTCCCCGCGTGCTGCTTATTTAATGCTGATTCTGGAGTGAGCTGAAGCAATAGAGACCTAATGGCAGAAATAACATTGAAATCTGGGGTGGGGTGGGGTTGTTCAAATTATGTTGGTTAGTTTGTCTACTCTCGTGTAAAGTTCAATCTTAACAATAAATTTGTCATGCATTCTAAAGATATCCCGCTCACGGACCCTTTATTTTCTCTTTAGAGTTCGTCGAACGCGCGTATGAAAAGAAACACCGCGGAGGATTTATTGACTCCATGCACGGTGACGCACATATCTGTCGCTTGCTTATCAACCCTCTTATGACGGCCGGCGAGAAGAAAAAATCCGCATTTTTCACCAATTCCTCTTCTTTGGATTGGTTTCCCCCGCTAATTAGCATAAGAATGGCAAAAAACCAGTTTTGCAAGAAAAAAGGCATGTTTTACGTAATTCTGTAATTCCCTTTCTTCTTTTCAATCTAAGCTCGAGACTTGGCTTTTTAAAATTGGTTATGATGTTGTCGTATAGAATGATGATGTTTTTATAGGATGACAATGTACTTTTGTAGTTTTGTAGGTTTAGGATTTTGTTGTTATTTTTATTATGTAAAGCGCTTTTGGACCATTGGGAATTAGCGCTCTATAAATATTGTATATTATTATATTATTATTAAACAGCTTTTTTTTGTTTTTCCCGCATGCGCAAAAGCCAATTTTTCTGGCGAATCTATTTTGATCTTTCTCTCTCGCTGTCTTTTTTCCTTTGCCTTTCTTCTTTATTGGCGGTTTTGTTGCCCACTTTATCGTCTTTCCTTTGCATGAAATTGTGGCTGGCTAACTTTTTAAGAAAGGGACAAATTTAATTTTCAAAGAGGGGTATGTAAACAGCGAAATTGGCAGTGGATTTTTCCCCAAAATGTTACCTTTTTCTGTGAGTGAAACTCTATCAGGATTGGTCAGAATATCCAAAACGAGGTATCGCTGGAAAGATCTATCTTTGCTGACGTTTTTGCTTACCAATTTAAACTGAAAGCTAAATGGGTCCAGGGAGGAAAGTATACATCGTTCTATATGGGGACGAAAACTACCCCAGCCGTGCGAAAAGGGTTAAGTAAATTCTAGGCTCCTTCAAAGCGTTCTAGGAGAGGCAGTGTTCATTTCAGCGCTTAAGACTGTTAAGCTTATTCGGAAAAAATGTACTATCAGATATGCTTGAGTTGGAATACATTAAACAAGCGAAGTCGGATTAAAGTTTATGTTTTATTTTTTTTTATTTTCATATATTTTTAAGTTTATGTTTTGATCCCTGTTACAACTTTACCAGACAGGCTATAACACTGCCTTAAGGGCTGTCAATTTACTACGGTAGTATATGGAGTTAAAGATTTTATATTAAAGCTTTAGAATTAATAATTACCAAGAGTGCCGGCTGAGGTCGAACTTTTCGTACATTTTTCAGCATCAGGATAAACATTAGCCTCCCACGCAGGCGTTTTTAGGGGAGGGATGAAAAACGAGCTCCCCTAAAAACGCCTGCGTGGGAGGCTAGATAAATATTTGAGCGCGAGATCTCGAAGTCCATCGTCTTTGACTTTATGATTAAGTGCACCATCCTAGTTTCCTAAGCAGCTTCTCTTAGTTTTTGAAATAAAAAACCACCGCCTTTTATTTTGACAATGATTCAGCTTAGCTGAGCATTGAGCTGTAATTTCTTTCGACTCCCACTTCGACAGCTGGGTTTCTAGGCTTCCGTTCTCCTACCGTTCGACCAGCCTCATCATTTTTTTTTTCAACGACTTTACTTCCAGTATTCCTCCGTGAGTACATGGTATTTCCTACACTATTTCTGTTATAAACCTTAAATCAAAATAAAGGCTATCATTCAAGAACAAGTTTTTGTCTATATTCCATACATGACAGTGTATATAAGCAGCTCTAAGTCTGTAGATATGAGAATCGACATTGTTAAATATGAAAAGGGCTTTTTTTTCTCTAAACTCGGCTACATTTACTGTCTTTAAGTTTCCGCATTACTCTGACCTTGTCTTTTATAAAGTCGCCTTTCGAAGGATTATTTCTACAAGCATGCCAAAATAGTGCATACGTTTACCCAAAAACAAACTGGTCTGGTAGGTAGGCAAGGTTTTACTTTGGGAAATTCCTTTCAAATTGACTTGCTGAAGGAGAAACAAGTTCTTAAGCTTAACAACCATAAGGTTTCCCATGAAGCCTCTTGCACCTCTCTACCCATGAGTCATGAAAAGACTTATAATCTTGCAAAAGCTCGTCCAAGTCTCCCTCAGTCTGGTGCGGCGGACCATCTGTACTGGTCTGCTTTGTCATCTCAACATTGAGGTAATTGTTTTCTTCTCTTGCCCGTTTCGCTATCAAAAAAAGTAAATAGTAAAGTTTTCGAGAAGATAAAAGTGCCGTCTGGCGTCTTAGTGTAATAAGTACTTTTCACTGTTGGTTTGTTCAGTTTGTTTGTGCCATGTTGGTGGTCAATACAATAAAATTCTTTTCTAAGAAATAACATGAAAATGGCATGAAAGTTGAAAGAGGAGAGAAATGCTTTTGTCCTTGACCACTAACATGGCCGCGGTAAAGTCAACAGCAAACCAGCAATATTACTGATACATGTATCTAAAAGAAACACATTATAGCTAGTAAATGTAAAAACATCACGTCACGTCATTGTTATGTCAAGATGTAAGGCGAATTTCTCTTACTAACACAAGCTTAATTACGGGTGGTGGTGAACTAGAAGATGTCTACGGTAATGCATTTATCTGAGAAAACTTCGGATTCGGTAATAAGAACAAAGCATGCAGAAGGCCAGAGTTCACTCTAGCTTTTTTTGCGTCATTGTACCATCCCCAAAAGACATCGACAACGTACATAAGGGACTTTTATCGTTTAGACGTATTCTCCTTTATTTTTTCCTTTTTTTAATGCAATTTCCAGTGCTGTTGCGTTCTGAACGAACAAATATGAGAGTTACACCAATACCGGCCCGTCAGCGTTTCCTAAGTTTTTTTTTCACGTTTTGGAAACAAACCACTGTTTTGGACTGTTCCGAGTGAAATTTATGGTCAAAAAGCACAAAAATCTATACTTTCTTTCCTTTAAAAAAAATTACCATCAAATTGGAAGAAAGGATCTGACTATTTTCCTGTTTTTCACACCATATGAAAGGAACAATTTAAAACATAACGTTGTCCATTCAGGCTGTCGATGGCCAGAAGAACGGAGATGGCATGATTGATGATCAGGTTACAAGACTACTTACGCTGCAAGTATTTCTTGGCTAGAAACTCATAAACTAATCCAGCGATAAAAAGCACCGCCAAGATGGCTGTTCCACTGTACACGATCATCTTAAAGGCTCCTTCTTCATAAAACAACCCCTCTGCGGCTTTTACTTCCTGGCTTATGGCATCCGATGGAATCTATAAAATCAACGCAATACCAATTGATCATCTTAAATGCTTTGTTGTTGGTTCTCTGCCTTGCTTCGAGAGGTTTTTCTCCGGGTTCTCCCTCTCCTCAAAAATCAACGCTTCCAAATTCCAGTTGAATCTGGAACGTATGGATCCGATTAAGCGAGTTCAGAACTGAACTCCTAAGTGCTTTGACGGTAAACAAATTACTATTTGAAATTTACAGTAGTCAGAGCTGACCATCTACATAAGCAAAAAATATATCGGTATACTTGTTGATTACTAGTGAAGTAATTTTCAGGCATAAAAAAATGATTTCTCCTTTTTCTATACAAACGCCTTACTTTAATATACTACTGACATGAGCGGCGAATCAAATTCGAATTTGGGCCGACTCAAAGCTGATTTTATGGGCCAGCTGATTTCATTTAGATGCTGATTTTCATTCAAAAGGAAAAACACGCGCATTCCGGTAAACCACATTATAAAACTTTATTCAATTCAAAGTAGACAGACTCCAAATTATATTAGTTGCTAAAAAATATATATCTACGTGTCGCAACTGTTCATCAGTAGGATGCCTAAAAATTAATGCGCGCAATTCCATTATGCATTTCGTTCTGGTCATATGAAGTTCGGTTTCTGAGTCAACGCCCGCCGACATCCTTTATTCTTGGTTCACTAGGCGGGAAGAACGGCCGAGACTATCCAAATTCAATTACTCCGATCGAATTCAAAGAATCACATGAAAAAGATTCATTGAATTCGATTCGGCTGGGACGTCGCCTTAGACTCTGCTTGACTCAACGTAGCCTCTTAGAGCTTAAAGCCCGCCATGTAACGACAAATTACGAATTAGGTAAAAACCTACCTTAAGAGGCTTGAGATGCTCGGCAATCTTTTGAAAAACTTTTCTTGGATAGTTTTCGACGTAACGCCTAGCGCAGCTTTCCATACGGGATGAATTGCCAGCCAAAACCATGCCGTACGTAACCGGGTGCTCAATCGTGCGCTCAATCCTAATTCCAGGATGATTCCTGATCAGGTTTAGGTGCGCTGTGATTATAAAACTATCTACAAAAGCGCCGTCTATTTCTGACTTCAACAGAGCACTCGTTATATCGTATATCTTGGGAAATACTATAAAATTAAGAGAAAGACAAATAGATTTAATCACTTTGCGTTATAGGACACTGTAATAACATGTAAATATATTAAAGCAAAACTGTATTTCCGCGCTTTTTGAATTGTAAAATGGGAATTAATGGAGATTATAAATGACAAATCATAAAATAAAATAAAATAAATTGTGTCTCAATTACTTCTTAAAAGTGCGAGTTTCCTGATCAGAATTATTAGCTCCATCTTAGATCTATTTTCCTTGCGTAAAAAAAGCAGCAAAGAATTCGAAATATACAGTAAGTTGTATTCGGAGCGATACTCACAGCATAAAAACTTAGCGCCTCAAAAACTTTAAAGACGTGCTTAATCTTATATGCGTAGCAGAAAAAAACACGGTCTTTAAATTTTGTCCTTAATCACTATTGCTTACTTTTCATGTCCGCATTCATCAGCACTCCTAGCTGATATTCTTCACTTCCGTTTACTACTCCAATCTGGAAGTGAAAAACAGAGTAAAGATGAGTCACCGCCAGTACTGATGCGCATGTCAAATATCAAAAGGGAAAGTGGGTCAAGAAGAAAGTTTGCCTTAGAGCGGTTTTCATTTGAGTGTCGAAAAGTAATTGGTTTTGCACTTTCTACACGATGCGATTGGCTTAAAAGATTCGCGCCACCTTTTCATCCAATCAGAAGTAAAACCAAAGCCAATTGTGACATTTGCGTCAGCCACATGTAATTACTTCGAGTTTTGATTGGTTCAATGTATTGTCTGTGTCCTATGTGATTGGCCAGAGTAATTACTTTGGTTTTGGTTTTACGACACTCAAACGAAAACCACTCTATTACAAATCTAGGTTAGACTTTGATGGGACACACACAGTGGGACGTCAAAAAGTAAAACGTCTACGAGACAACTTTTTTGTGGTAGACCCCGGGAAAATCTTTCGGGACGGCCGAAGACATTCTGGTGGAACAGGGCCAGCCTCTTGGAGACAGTTTGCCCCTAGGCACTTTATAAAATTTTATCAGTCAGATCTTCTCAAAAATCTTCTGGTTTCCTTCTTCTGATTCCATCCAGCGAGAAGGGACTGTCACTGAGTCACTTACTTAATATACTTTTTTCTATTTTGGACATGATCCACCCTTGAATGTCCCGCCCCGTAAAAAAAGGTCAAAGCCTATGCATGAAATTATTGCACTCAGATGGTCTTCATCATCATCTCAGATCTAATTGTTGCAGTGAAAAGAGTAAGACGAGTACCCTGGGGTTTAAAACGCCAGAAATTAAACGTGACGTTAAACATGACATTCGTAACGTCAACCTATTGGACAAACGTAAAAGTGACACACGTATCGACACGCACATCAACTCACGGCCATATGGAGGCAGTGGTAACCATTGAACAGCTACTTCGCTGTTATTAAGGCTCATCAGCATGGCATTCCCGGTTGATATGGATGTACGCATGCGTTAGGTACTGGCCGGGCCATGGGTTGTTGTACGTGTGTCACTGGCTTTTAAGTTTGAACCTATCGAAGCTGTCAAGTACGATGCGGATGTAAGAATTCAGTGTGTTGCCCGAATGGAAGTTTACAGAAAAACGTTTGAGCATTCCCTGTCATGATACCCAACCATGCTCCTTGTTATCGTTATGAACTTCGTTTGGCCTCGTAAATAAAAACAAGCATATCTTACCAGCGACCCATGTATTGGGAAGTGAGGGTGTGTTGTAGCTGCAAGCGATGCTGTTACCATAGCAATGAAAATGGAGATTATAATCAGGCCTGTTATAATCCACAAAATGCAAAACACACGACCGAGAGTGGACTTGGGGGAACGATCACCATAGCTGTCGACAATTGAAAAATAAAGAATACCTGATGTTGGAGCACCCCTAAATAACTATTCATATCAAGATAAGCAAAAAGAAGCTTATCTCCACCTTGGTCAAGTGACTGAGGCGTTGTTCTTTTTTATTGTTATAATTATTATTGCTGGTTTTCACTTTCACGTCCCCAAAAATGGAAAAAAAACAAACAAACAAACAAAGAAAGACAGAAAACTGTTCAATAGATATAGTTAAGCATCTGGGAAATTTAAAGGAAGTAAATCGGTAAAGACCCTCCTCAAGATTCAGGTCAGTCCAACTTAATATATGCAAGATATTTGGAGAAATAATTTACCCAAATTTTTGAGCTTTGTATGGAGACGCCATGTTGGGATCCAATCCAGTGATTAGCACCAACATGGCGGCCGGAAACCTACTCAAACATCTGTCACCTGACTGAGTTTTGCGACAAAAGCGTGAATTCATCTTTCGAGGAACTCATAAACAGCAAAGTAATTCTGTTTCTAATACAAATGACTTTTCAGCTGGCAAAATCCCCAGAATAAGTCATTGTCAGCTTTCGCGGCAGGCATATAAATGCTGCGTCACGTAAAAGCGTGTTCTATCTCAAAACGTAGAACCCTATCGAAGTGAACATTTGTGTGAATATAGCTTTTAGCTGCTTTGATACCTTATGAAAGGTGCAGGGCAGTACAAAAAGTCGATAATTCGTTAGTCTGAATTTTGATTACGTCATGTGCAAAGCCACCAAAAAGACTTCTTTATTAGGTCTTTTCATACCAAAAGACATAATAACAGGAAAAGATTAAAAAATTTAAGTAACGATTCCGTGCATTCTTGTTGTTCCGAAGAGAATTTAACACCTTTTAAAAACTTACCCTACTGTTGTCATGGTGACCAGTGCCCACCAGAACCCTTCCCAGACTCCTTTCTTAAATGATTGAGGAAACTCCTGAGGATTCTGACGATGATCCTATAAAGCCAAAAGGATGACTACAGTAGAAGTATTTTTAAGATCTTTTGTGGAAGAGGAGGCGGAAAATTAAATTTAAAAGCTTGTAATCGTATTTAGTACAGTTTTCAAATCGACACAATTTAAATACCACATTTTCGACACACCATGAAAGAAAAAATAAACATCGTTTATTATAAGTAATATATAATCGCAATGCAATAAATGTACCCTGGCTCCAGAGGTCCGTTCTAAAAATACCCAATATGAAATAAACCGTGCTTACGGTTTAATAAGGCTCCCTTGGCACTTCCTGCCTCGTTGACGCGGCTTCGCCGCGAACCATCAGTATCGAAAGAAAAAAATATCCTCTGGAACCCAGGGTACAATAAATGGAGCGAACGGCGAAAACGACTTGTTTGTAATATTAGGAAAGCAGCGATTTGAGAAAGCTGGGTAAAAGTAATGTTAATATAACCTTAACTCACCAAAAACCATATTATGATACCAGAGAAGGTTGCTGTGAGAAGAATGAACACCATTATGGGCCAGGCCTTCATAATGGTGGTAGCAATGGCGTGAGTGTTGCTGGTTCTTTCGTTTCCATCATACGCCAGAAAGACCACACTGGGGGCTCGCACTAGCGGGATGAATGGATAATCCCGAAATGAATGAACATCAGAGGGTGCGTGGATCGAAAAGGTGAAATCGTACTCATTAACGTTCTCACTTAGAAAACGATCTTCCGCCTCCAGTGGTGTACGTAAGAGCTTGGCAAATTTGACTTTCTTGGCGCCACCATGACAACAATAGTCTAACATGTTCGAAAGCAAAGAAGGAAACATGCCTTTTACGTCCATGTACTCTCTTGCGTCTTGAAAAGAAGTATAGGGATGATTCTTGTGAAAAGCAAATGATAATGGCATGTCGTTTTCTCCAAAGCATCGCTCGTCTACGGAGATATTGCTGGTGATGTTCTTCATCTCTGGAACCTTTACTCCAATAGGACTACCTGGAATTTTCTTATTCAATTCTAGAAGTACTTTTGCAATACGAAAGCCATCGGAAGAATCGTTTGTGCTTTTCAACCATGGGAGAAAGATGCTTTTCACGAGACATGGCTGCCCGACAAGAACAGTAATATAAACCATAAAAAGGAATCTGAGCTTCATGTTCGATCCCTGTATTATGAAATAATCTGCAAAAAAGATAGATCGTTATTAAAGCGTGTAATGGTTTCGAACTGGCCTTAATTGTCTTTCCCAGACTTGCATATACTTGTACTACAATTTGCATCCATTGTGAATAAATTGTTAAAATGTTTTAAAAGCGTTATTGCCCAAGCTATTAATAAAAAACGATTTCGAGGCATTAGGGATTAAGCCTAAGGAAATGTAAATAAGTGAGCACTTTAAAAAATCTATCAGGCGATTTAATGATTTCGCAATAAGGGATGGATTTGTTATTGCGTGCAACATATTCACGAAGATGTTCAGCTAAAAATACGATATTTTGTGAGCCTTTTAAATTATGATCAATTAATAATAACGTATAATATATTGGGAAAAGTATGACAGTTTTTTCAGTGTACTTATTAATAATTCTCAAGCCGTCTTAAGCCGATAATTTTTTTCATTAATACAATTTTAAACTCAAGAAACAAAATTCCTGATATTTTAATGGTATAAGGAGTAACTCAGGTGGTTTGTAAGTCGCAAACTTCGGTTAGGAAAGTTCACTAATTGTGAATGCATTAAACTTTTTGTTTTCAGACAATAAGACCTTTTAGTTCCCCTTACTTTTATTCATAGGATATTTATAACGTAAACATAACTGAAAATGCTTTCTGTTATATAAACTGAATCATTACACAAGACATGTTTTTTGAATGCTTCTTTGTCCTTTAGATTATAATATATCTTGAAAAAATGTTTATATTATCATTAACATTATTATTATTATTATTATTATCGTCATCGTCATCGTCATCGTTATCATAATCATTATTATTATTATTATTATTATTTTAAGAAACAGCAATCGCAATTTGTTGTTTTTAAGTAGTTTAAAACGGAAAGATAGTGGTGCCCTTTACTCAAAATGGGATACTGGAGCACCGTCAAGTCTTTTAAAAGTTAAAGCAACGAGAACTCAAATTTCGCTTCCTCTCAGATTCGGTATGGGCTTATAGGATTTGATAAATACAGGAGTGAAAGATATTTAGGACTTGCTTGATAGTTTAAGCCATATTGTTCTCAGCCACAGTCGGCCGTTTTTATTATCAAAAACAACAACAAACCGCTAAAACTTTTTCGTGCAAGAAAGCCTGCGAAAAATTCAATAATTCCATTGTCAAAAGGAAGACTTTCAAGTCGGTCAAAAAGTAAACCAGGAAGATTTTCTTTACAGAAGGATTGCTACAAAGTCATTTCTTCGAAAGATAAGGGAAAATGTAACAGACTATATTTCCCTTTGTGTTGACTCCTGTCCACCGAGGCACTTACCTATCGCCTGTATCATTTGGAGCTACAAATTAACTCAGACTTTTTGGAATAATTATGCTCATTTCTAAGTGGATCTCTGATAATCTCAAACTGACAAACATCACTTCCTTTTCAGCTACGCCTTTCCTATGACTTAACTGACTAAAGTACATAGAACTGAATCCATGCAACGAAGAGCCATGGGAGTGGTAAAATTTGTTCGCTATAACGAGGTTGTTTTCCATAGAGAATATCGTTCGTTATAACGAAGACTACGCTAAAAACGGACGTTTGCTATATTGATGCCCCACTTTATATATCCAGTTTTCTTCTATACCACTTCCTTCTTATCGCTTGACTAGATACTAAATATAAAATGCAGTTAATTAGGGGATCCCGGCGGGAAATAAAAAACAATCTGATGGCTTTTTGGAAGAAAATCTTACCGGAAGAGCGCTGTTTGCTTTACACGGTTAAAACTTCCTTCGAAAACACCTGTCTTTTTCTTTCAAAATCAGCTAGACCAGAGGGGATCATTCGAGCCTGGATCCCATCAAACATTAATTAAGAGGTACTTGAGTTTTAATAATTTCTCTCGAGACATATATGATAAACGAGAATACACTGTGTTTATATTTAAGGGATAAAATATTTTAACGCCCTTCAAAGTGTGAAATCACTAAAAAATATTAAGTTTAAAAAGTATAAGAGAGAATCTCAATGATTCGAAGCTATTTTCACACTTATAATCTTGTGTCCCCTTTCACTTAATTTTATTTCTCAAGCGTTTTAATCCGTCCGACCACGTTGCGTTTTAGAAGAAGAAGTTTACACCACGAAAAGTGCAGGAGATTGACATGTATTCCAGTGACGACAATCAAGTGAAAAAAGTTTGAAACAGTGTGACGATAAGTTTTGCCCTTCCAGGAACAAATCGGGAAATTAAGCGTAAAGAGAACTCGAGCGACTTCGGCGTAAGGACAACAAGGGGGAAAACTAACTCGCAACTCGCTTGGCAAGCGGTAAAGAGGGTCGTACAGGGGTATTCCCGTGATGCGTGATTGGCTGATTTTATTTTCCGTGAAACGTGAATTTAATAAATTATTCTTCGTGATCCGTGATCTGAAGGTTTTGCGTGACCCGTGAAGAACTGGAATTATTAACCGATATTCGTGATTTCACCACTCTATTTGGCGTGATTTTGAGATGCGAGTGCTCTGGAAGACTTATTTTAAGACTGAAAACATCAAATGTGACAAGTAAGAGACTTCGCTTTAATTAAAGTAATCCATTGTGCAAATTCACGTGCTTTACATGCCTATCATGGATCAGATGTCTATTCCTATGCCTATGGTCTCCTATGCCACTGGAGATCAAAGGACAGTGATCCAAAACATCGAAACATCCGAGACATGGAGGGGACGAGTACGTATAGTACGATGAGGGTCGAATGTATTGAATTTTACGTTGACCCAAAGTCTGTCGGCTCGCTTAATTTTCTTGGAAAGGAACGAGTTCGCTTTCCAATTACAGATGAACATTCATCTTTGGCAGTGTTTACTAAAAAGTTCGCGGAATTTGCCGGATTAAAGGCAGAGGCTGAGAAACGTGGCCTCGGCTCCTGTGTTGAACTTAAATTTTGTCGTCTCGAAAAGGGAAAAGATGGCAGTAAGGCCTTTGCGATAAATACACAAGAGCAATGGGACAAGGAGAGGCCGCTACTATCAGGAAATACATCTTCATTACAAGGTAGGAATTTATTTACTTCTTATTAAACGACATCAAGGACCGTTCTGAAAGATACGGGCCGACTTTTCTATAGGTTAATAAGTAATCAAGGTTAAAAGAAGAACAAGAGAATACGGCGACTATGTCAGGATGACGATGGTA